TTTTTTTTTTTTTTTTTTTTTTTTTTTTTTTTTTTTTTTTTTTTTTTTTTTTTTTTGGGGGGGGGGGGGGGGGGGGGGGGTTTGAAAAAAGGGGGGGGGGGGGAAAAAAATTTTTTTTTTTTTTTTAAAAGGGGGGGGGGGGGGGGAAGGGGGGGGGGTAAAAAGTGGCGTGGGTATACGGGAAAAAGTTTAAAAGCGGGGGGTTTTGTGTTGGATTGGTTGTTTTTTTTTTGTGAAAAGGGGGGGGGTTGGTTGGGGAGACATGTTTCCCTTTATAAAAAAGGGGGACAAAAAAAAAATTTTAAAAATTAATGAGGAAAAATTTTTCTGGGGAAAGAAAAAGTATAGGTAGGGTTAAAAAAAAAAAAAAACGAAGGACTGCTACAAACTTAAATAGTGTGATAATTTTACAGGGAATTTTTTGTAACGTAATTTGATAAAGGTGGGAATTTTTTTGGGGGGGGGGCTTTTATGGATTTAAAAAAAAGGCATATGAAAGGGGTGGATAGAGGACAATGTGGCGATGTTGAAGTATATGGAATAGGTGGTAAGTTACTAAATGTGTAAAAACCCTTTTTTTTTTGAGGATAGTGGGGGTTTCAGGTTAGGGGGTGTTTTAAAAAGAGGGAGACTACTTAAAAAGGTAAAAGTAGGTTTTTAGACAGGGAATGTGAATGTCAACCCCTGGTTTTTTTAAAATATTTTTTAGATGGGGGTTTTAAAAGAAGTAAAGCTAGGTTTTTCGGGAAAGGGTGGGGTAAATTAAGGGGAAACAAATTTAAAATGGGAAATTTACACAGTTACTTTTTTTTTCGGGTGAAAACTGTGCTTTTGGGGGGATTTTAAAATAAAAATTGCAAAGGTTAGGGGATGAGTTTAGAATGTGGTAAAGGTAGAAAGTTAAAAAGTGAACATAAAAAGGAAAGGTGTGAGGGTATAAAATGTTTTTTGATAAAGAAAATTGGATAAAAATTGGGGGACGAGGAGTAGGGAAAAGAATAAATGTTTTCAGATACGGGGGATTTGAGTGTCGGCGGTGGATTTTGAAGGATGAGGTTAATCATAGAATTGATGAGGGAAAAAAAGTGAGGGGGTGCGTTGGGTATTTGGAGTCAAAAAACGTTTCTTGGAGGCAAAGGGGAAATGTATGAAAGTTAGTAGTACCCCTTTTTTAATGGTGTAAAGCTTGGGTGGTAAATGCAGCAGCGAGGAGACGGTTGGAGGCAGTGGAGATGTCCTGTCTAAGGGCATTGTGTGGTGTAAATATTATGCAGAAAATTGGGGAGTGTGGAAATTAGGGAGAAGGTGTGGAGTTAATAAAAGCATTAGTCAGAGGGCAGAAAAAAGGGGTTGTTTGAGGTGGTTTGGTCATTTAGAGAGAATGGATCAAAGTAGAATGACATGGAAGCATATAAATCTATAGGGGAAGGAAGGAGGGGTAGGGGTCGTCCCGAAAGGGTTTGGAAAGAGGGGGGTAAGGAGGTTTTGTGGGCTAGGGGCTTGGACTTCCAGCAAGCGTGCATGAGCGTGTTAGATAGGAGTGAATGGAGGCGAATGATACTTGGGAACCTGACGATCTGTTGGAGTGTGAGCAGGGTAATATTTAGTGAAGGGATTCAGGGAAACCGGTTATGTTCATATAGTCGGACTTGAGTCCTGGAAATGGGAAGTACAATGCCTGCACTTTTTAAAGGAGGGGTTTGGGATTTGGCAGTTCGGAGGGATATGTTGTGTATCTTTATATGTATATGCTTTTAAGCTGTTGTATTCTGAGCACCTCTGCAAAAGCAGTGATAATGTGGTGAGTGTGGTGAAAGTGTTGAATGATGATGAAAGTATTTTCTTTTTGGGGGTTTCTTTCTTTTTTGGGTCACCCTGCCTCGGTGGGAGACGGCTGACTTGTGAAAAAAAAAATATATATATATATATATATTATATATATATATATATATATATATATATATATATAAAATATATTTTTATATATATATATATATAGCTAGTTGTGAGGGGAAAGTTCGTGAGGGAGTAGGTAAAATGAAAAGGGGGGTAAGGCGCTGGGATTGATAGGATTTAAAAATAGAAATGTTAAAAGCGGTGAGGGATATAGTTTTGGAGTGGTTGGTGCTATTATTTAATAAATTATGGAGAGGGTAAGGTACTAGGGATTTGGCAGGAGTGCATCATAGTTCCTTTGAATAAAAGGCAAAAATTATAGGGGGATAAGTCTGTTGAGTATACCTGGTAAAGTGTATGGTAGAGTTATTATTGAAAGAATTAAGAGTAAGACGGAGAATAGGATAGCAAATGAACAAGGAGGCTTTAGGAAAGGTAGGGGGTGTGTGGACCAGGTGTTTACAGTGAAACATATAAGTGAACAGTATTTAGATAAGGCTAAAGAAGTTTTTGTGGCATTTATGGATTTAGAAAAGGCGTATGACAGGGTGGATAGGGGGGCAATGTGGCAGATTTTGCAGGTGTATGGTATAGGTGGTAGGTTACTGAAAGCAGTGAAGAGTTTTTACGAGGACAGTGAGGCTCAAGTTAGAGTATGTAGGAAAGAGGGAGATTATTTTCCAGTAAAAGTAGGCCTGTAGGATGTGTGATGTCACCGTGGTTGTTTAATATATTGGGGTTGTAAGAGAAGTAAATGCGAGGGTCTTGGCAAGAGGCGTGGAGTAGTTAAAAGATAAAGAATCACACGAAGTGGGAGTTGTCACAGTTGCTCTTTGCTGATGACACTGTGCTCTTGGGAGATTCTGAAGAGAAGTTGCAGAGGTTGGTGGATGAATTTGGTAGGGTATGCAAAAGAAGAAAATTAAAAATGAATACAGGAAAGAGTAAGCTTATGAGGATAACAAAAAGATTAGGTGATGAAAGATTGGATATCAGATTGGAGGGAGAGAGTATGGAGGAGGTGAATGTATTCAGATATTTGGGAGTGGACGTGTCAGCGGATGGGTCTATGAAAGATGAGGTGAATCATAGAATTGATGAGGGGAAAAGCGTGAGCGGTGCACTTAGGAGTCTGTGGAGACAAAGAATTTTGTCCTTGGAAGCAAAGAGGGGAATGTATGAGAGTATAGTTTTACCAACGCTCTTATATGGGTGTGAAGCATGGGTGATGAATGTTGCAGCGAGGAGAAGGCTGAAGGCAGTGGAAATGTCATGTCTGAGGGCAATGTGTGGTGTGAATATAATGCAGAGAATTCGTAGTTTGGAAGTTAGGAGGAGGTGCGGGATTGCCAAAAACTGTTGTCCAGAGGGCTGAGGAAGGGTTGTTGAGGTGGTTCGGACATGTAGAGAGAATGGAGCGAAACAGAATGACTTCAAGAGTGAATCAGTCTGTAGTGAAAGGAAGGCGGGGTAGGGGTCGGCCTAGGAAAGGTTGGAGGGAGGGGGTAAAGGAAGTTTTGTGTGCGAGGGGCTTGGACTTCCAGCAGGCATGCGTGAGCGTGTTTGATAGGAGTGAATGGAGACAAATGGTTTTTAATACTTGACGTGCTGTTGGAGTGTGAGCAAAGTAACATTTATGAAGGGATTCAGGGAAACTGGCAGGCCGGACTTGAGTCCTGGAGATGGAAAGTACAGTGCCTGCACTCTGAAGGAGGGGTGTTAATGTTGCAGTTTAAAAACTGTAGTGTAAAGCACCCTTCTGGCAAGACAGTGATGGAGTGAATAATGGTGAAAGTTTTTCTTTTTCGGACCACCCTGCCTTGGTGGAAATCGGCCAGTGTGTTAATAAAATTTATTTTATAAATATATATATATATATATATATATATATATATATATATATATATATATATATATATATATATATATATATATATATATATATTCATTCAACACACCGGCCGTATCCCACCGAGGCAGGGTGACCCAAAAGGAAAAACGAAAGTTTCTCCATTTACATTTAGTAATATATACATGAGAAGGGGTTACTAGCCCCTTGCTCCTGGCATTTTAGTCGCCTCTTATGACACGCATGGCTTATGGAGGAAGAGTTCTGTTTCACTTCCCCATGGAGGTAAGAAATAGAGAAGAACAAGAACTAGTAAGAAAAAATAGAAAACCCATAAAGGTGTGTATATATATGCTTGAACATGCACGTGTAGTGTGACCTAAATGTAAGCAGACGTAGCAAGACGTACCTGGAATAATCTTGTATGTTTATGAAACAGAAAAAAGACACCAGCAATCCCACCATCATGTAAAACAATTACAGGCTTTCGTTTTATACTCATTTGCCAGGACGGTAGTACCTCCCTGGGTGGTTGCTGTCTACCAACCTACTGCCTAGGATGGATGGAGATATATATATATATATATATATATGGAACAAAGCAGAATGACTTGGAGAGCGTATAAATCTGTAGAGGAAGGAAGGCAGGGTAGGGGGTCGTCCTCAAAAAGGTTGGAGGGATGGGATAAATGAGGCTTTTTGGGGGAGAGGCTTGGACTTCCAGCAAGCGTGCATGAGCGTGTTAGTAAGGAGTTAATGGAGAAAATTGGTTTTTGGGAACTGACAAGCTGTTGGAAAGTGAGCAGGATAATATTTTGTGAAGGGACTCAGGGAAACCGGTTAGCCGGACCTGAGTCCTGGAAATTGGAAGTACAATGCCTGCACTTTAGAGGAGGGGTCTGGGATATTGGCAGTTTGGAGGGACTTCTAAACTGTCGTATCTGAGCGCCTCAGCAAAGACAGTGATTATGTAAGAGTGATGGTGAAAGTGTTGAATAATGACGAAAGTATTTTTCTTTCTTTTTGGTTCGCCCTGCCTCGGTGGGAAATGGCCGATATAAGTGTGTGTATATATATATATATATATATATATATATATATATATATATATATATATATATATATATATATATATATATATATATATATATATACACACTTTTCCAAGTCGGCCGTTTCCCACCGAGGCAGGATGACCCAAAAAGAAAATACTTTCATTATCATTATTCAACACTTTCACCTCAGTCATACATAATCACTGTCTTTGCATATACTGTATAAAGTATATGCATATACTGTATTTGCATATACTGTATAAAAATATATAACATATCCCTCCAAACTGCCAATATCCCAAACCCTTCCTTAAAAGTGCAGGCATTGTACTTCCCATTTCCAGTACTCAAGTCCGGCTATATAAAAATAACCGATAATAATAACTGATATTGATATTTTACGGAATGAAGCGTCTAATAAAAGTTCCTTTCAGGACCCCAATGAGCATAAGGCACTGATTTTTTTTGGGGGGGAGTTATCCTGGGTAATTTACACATACGGTATACAGGGCAATTTTTATCTAAAATGTGTGTAATCGTACCTAAACTTCCTTACTTATTTTTTAGTGCCTGCTCAATGCATTAATATTTAATACATTTAGACGTGTACAGTAAAATATTGTTCCACGGGAGTTTCATAAACAAAAGGCATCAGAGTACATAAGTATGGATAAGTTAAAACAAAATTAATCAGTCTTACCTCCGGGATGGAGGTGGGTGGTGTGGGTGTGATGTTCTCCTTAAGAAGGTTTGGAGGGATTGTGTCGGAATATGGAGGCCCGGCCAGGTTATGCACGCTCAGGAAGTCAGCAGTGGTAGTGGTTGTGGTAGTGGTTGTGGTTGGGGAGCCAGGTGTGGTCGCGGGAAGTGGCGGGTAGCGCAGACGTGGCTTGGACTTTGGACGTGGTTGATGCTTTGGACGTGACTGGAACTCTGGACGTAACTGGGGCTTTGGACGTGGCTTTGCGTATGGGACAAGCTGTGAGTGTTTCACAGGTAGTGGGCGGCGCACAGGTTGACTTGCTATAGACTGTGGGCGCTGATGCTGCCGCAAACCATTAGGTAACCTTCCCTGGCAATATAACGCAACTATTTCAGCAAACATATCCACTACCTCTCCAAATGTCAAGTTTTACCTTAAAGTGACAAAGGTGTTTAAATTTAATTAGATCCAGTTTACTTTTTAAATATAACCAAACACAAATTCACAAACTGTTAAATCCGTATGGGTCATATGCAAGTGATAGACAAGCTTAGCGAACACACTTGACCTTTCAATGCTACACTGGTTAGGTAGGTTAGATAAATAGGAAAGTGGATCAAAGAGAACAATTAAAATTATTATTATAATCAAAAAGAAGCGCTAAGCCACAAGGGCTATACAGCAGAACAATTAAAAGAAAGCACTGATAAGTAAATGGATAAGAGTGTGTGTTGGCTGGTTTTAAGTCTATCCACTACGCGAGGATCATTGTTGCATGTAATAATCTAATATATATACATTACCAACCAAGAAACTTTTAATCCCTAAAGTAGAGATTAAAATATACTTTCAGTGTATATATACTTAGAGATACACACCAATCCATACCCCCGGCCGGGATTGAACCCGCGGCCGGGGGTATGGTTTGTTTGCAATCGTGTCATTACGATTTCTTGAGTCATACACACCAATCGGTGTACATTATCAAAATTAAACGCTAAACCCACAGGGTTCATACAGTGCTGCTATCTAGGAAACTGCGCGCGCGCGCATTTGCGTGTGTGTACTCATCTAAAGTGGGTCTAGGTCGATTCTTAGCTCCTGGTATATGTATACAACTATGAACATAAGTGTAAGTGCACATTTCTGGTAAGAGATACTATGGAAAAACATCTCAAAGCAGTGAATCAGCATCCCATTTAGCGGACGGAGGATTGCGCTTACACCAAATTTTGCGCCCATGACCAACAAATAAATACATTAATTTGGGAAGAGGAAACGGAAAGCAGCATTTGAAAAGTACTATCACCGGGAGTATACTAACTTTATAGGGTACTTTCCTGCCCCTGTGTCGGCCAGGTCCCTGGCCACGATGACCACGGGGACGCCCACCACCCAGCCGCCACCACCTGCGGAGGAAAGGCGCAAATCACATATTTTTATTCATGTCATATTGGGAAAGGATCACACAACACTGGGTTTGATCAAGGGAGTGTAGTTTAATTACTTTAATTTAAGAACCCTTCACCAGCTTCTAATGAATCCTCTTAAATACCCTTATTTAAGAGGATTCCACAATACCGTGACTGGAACAATACAGATAACCCTCACACAGAAGAAACCTTACGACAACGTTTCGGTCCGATTTGGACCAATAACTCGTCCAACGTCGTCCTATGTGCGGATTGTGTATTATTATAATCAAAGGGGAAGCGCTAAACCCGGAGGATTATACAGCGCCTGGGGGGGATGTGGATGGCATTCAGGCTTAATTTGGGGAACTGGAGCACAGATCCAATTCCCTAAATCAAGAGCCCCTCACCAACATCAAGGAACCTTCCTTGAGGGGGCGGATTGTGTAGTGTATCCTTGTTTTCATATTTTCAAATATGTATTATATATTTACTTTCTTGATTTTAGGAAGGTTTAATTTTTGTACAAGTTGTACTGTTTTAGAATTAAATTTTATATCCTCTTAATGTGATTTTTAATGAAATTGAATATATATAAAACTGAATAGCAAGTATTATGAAGGTCTTTCCAGGTGCTATTCAATTTTGGATGTACTTTTTTTTTAAATTACCTTTACGAAAAATTACAATATACAGGAGCCTCATAAGAGGGCCTACCTTTATTATATTTATAATGAACTGAAAAATCATTATTACAGTAACTAACCCTACAATCAGCTTTGTACATTAACGTAACATGTAAGAAGAGATATGTAGGTACACGAAACAATATCCTGGATTCACTCAAGTCACCTTGACTGAGATGAGATTGGTATGCCGAATACCGTATAAGACTCCTCGGCTGTCATGCTCTGTATGGTTCTTCTGTTGCCATCTGTTAGTATTTCCACCCTCTTGGGAGCCAGGGTCTCACTTATTCCTGGTATGTTCTGGTACACACGCGGAAACACTTCCCACCTCGACTCTGGGTTGTGGGCTGAAGGTTTCCTGTTTTCGATGCTGTCGAGGGAGGTGTGGACTCTCTCCTGAGAAGTATCGTCGTATTGTGGAAATGAGGAGTCATATCGCCGATAAGCGCAGTCCTCTTGAAAGGATGTGTCAGTTTCTCGGAATGCAGTGTCAGCCAGAAACGAAGTGTGTTGTTCAAGCGGGTGACCATGTTCATGTGATGTGTCTAACGACTCTAGTTGAAACCCATCGTGTCGAATCAGCGCCTCTGTTACTCTGTTCTTCCTTCGGGGATGATACCAACTTGGTCCAGCACGCAAGGCTTCAGAGTCTGGTAGTTCTTCGTAACTTTCCTCAGCACTCATGCTGGGAGCCTGGGCACTCTTCGACTCAGTGTCCAGTGGCTGCTGGAATTCCTGGGTGCCCTGTAGCTGCTGAGCCTCCTGGGGTGTGGCCAGGGCAATGTCAGGCACCACTGCTACGACGACGACCATGACCAGCAAAACAACTGTCACCTGCTGAGGACAAAAACCATTACTGATGTGATAACAGAGTAAAAAAAAAAGCAAACAGATCAAGACATGTGAACACAAATATAAAAATTAACGAAAAAAATAGAACTGTAATCATCGTTTCAAATAAATGTTTTTAATAATACTATCATATTAACACGGGGCAACCTGAATAAAAAACAAAAATGCACAATAAACAATATTAACACAGCGAACAAGGGGCAACAACGTTACTTTTCATGGCGGCTAACTAATTGAACTCGAGTCAACATATGGCTGCCGTTTTCACCACAGGCTGGCAGGGCGGAGACACTAACAGCTGTTCCGCCACACATCCTCCAGATCCAGAAACAGTGGCGTATGGGAATATAAACTGTATAGTGATGTAAGGAAGTGATATAAATAGACTGTGTAGGATGGGGCTTATTTTATTCTTGAGGAAATGATAAATCCGTATGGGTCATACAGCAGTTAGGGGGAATAGGAGGTAATTAGGTTCGAGGAGAGGGAGGGTAGCTGCAATTCCTTGGATCAAGAATCTTTCACCAGCTATATAAGAAATTAAAAGCCTATTACATATTACAAACTTTTATTTACACCTTTATACACTAAACTTTCCCATGTGTTTCTTTCCACTTCTCTAAGTTAAGAGGCCGGGCCGCAGGGGAAGACGACTCCTGGAATAATCGACAACTAACAGAATGGAATACAACCTTGATTAATACCATCTTACATCTCCTCATCCAGGCAAAGCAACTTCAGGAATAATTGCAAAAATAATGTAATTACGAGTCGAGCTGTTGGCTCCTACTACCACTGTAACATTGAAAATTATACAAAACTATCATACGCTGAATACTGAAGATGACACACCACGAGACTGTTTTATTCACTACAAATAGATGATTACAATTATTACTGTTATTATTTATATTACTGTTATTGTTGTTTTCATGGGAAATACAAAACCCATTGCAGGAATGGGAGGTAATCAAGTCTGATCCGAGGAAGGAAAGAACAGCTCCAATTCCTCTGATTAAGAGCCTGTCACCAGCATCAAGGTACTTCCCTTGGGAAGATTGGAACTCAAGAGATGAGTCATTAAAAGGCAAAATAATAACATAACAGCTTGAAATTCCCAGGATGCTCGTGCGTGTGTATGTATATACCTGTGCAGAAGTGTAATATGTGCGTGTGTATTGGTGTGCACGTACATGGTGCTGCGTGTGCGTTAGTAAGTACCAGGTGCATGCAAGGCATTTTCCGGCCCCATACATAGTATCGTGTTGACAATCACGTGGGTTCTGAATGATCGTCAACACACACACATACAATATGAGGGTAAATGGTGGGAAACGGCCGACGTGTGTGTGTGTGTGTGTGTGTGTGTGTTGTATGTACATGTGTCGTGTCGAATAGGTAAAACTGGTCTCTTAGCAAGAACTCATTTCAAATTAAGTCCTAAGTGACCAGTTTTACCTATTCGGTATGACTATATATACATATATATATATATTATATATTTTAATATATATATTTTAATATATATATATATATTTAATATATATATATATATTTTAATATATATATAATTTTAATATATATAATCTTCAAATTGAGACATTATTATTAACATGTTGATTTTATTTATGAAAAGGTAGCTCAAATTCCTTGGATTACGATTACAGTGAGAGCATTAATGACCCTTTTCTTTACTCTTGCATCGTCTAAACATTTTGAGTTCTAATCATACTGAGTATAAACCAAGATATTACCAGTCCTCCAGATAACAGTTACACCAAACTACTTACAAGAGCCCGTTAGCATTAGTAACAACAACAGTTACCGTTTACAGCCTCGGCATGCAAACGAGTCCAATTCCTTCCCAACCAACGGAATAGAATTTCCACGGAGCCGGAAACGGAAGATTACTAATCACAGAAAATTTGGACCCGCTATGACAGGTGTTGTAACGGAACTTCAGTGTGATGCCGGTAACAAGGTAAGCCCACCAACGGGGATAGGGATCGATGTTTTTAAATAAATTATGATAAAGAGGAAGCACTAAACCTACATGGGGAATGAGTCAATAAGGTTTAATCCAGAGATGACAGGTCCATTTACTTGGAACACGACCCCCCCCCCTCTTCGGCCTCAAGGAACCTCAATGAGGGGGTCGGTCACCTTACGTTAGATCCGAGGGGTCGGGTCACCTTACGTTAGATCCGAGGGGTCGGGTCACCTTACGTTAGATCCGAGGGGTCGGGTCACCTTACGTTAGATCCGAAGGGTCAGATCACCTTACGTTAAACCCACTGCATGGACTCCAAGGTGCAGGTGACCTGACACGCTAGTGATGCCACCTTCACACGTGACAGGAACCTTCTTCGCTCTTATATAACATAAGAAAATGAACGAAGAACACTGCAGGAGACCCATACTTGGCACAGCCTTGTCAAACAAACCCATTAAAAAAAAAAATTCGCCCCAACTCATTATCAATGATACCCAAAGAACAAGCTTTCTTAACCTTATTAACTCAAATGCAAGTTCCACTCAATCTAACCCCTCTCTCACTCATGTATATATCTAACTCTTGCATCTGCTGGTGAAGACCTCAAATGGATGTCGAAATATAGTTTCTTATTTATATTTGTTAGGTAAGACACATATGCAACAGTTAGGTATCTTTATTTCGAAACGTTTCGCCTACACAGTAGGCATGTGTGTCTTACCTAACAACCTGTCGGTATTTTATACCATTTTAATGTTCAATCTGTCAGACACTGCAACACAAGGGTATCTTGGTACAGACCTGAAATCAGCTCTACTAGTGAGAACGGCTGGATTTGAGAGGGACCTGACCTCCCAACATGTGTGTTCTACTAGTGACCTACGTCTCACCTCCAGGCGCTATATAAGGCTCCATCCTGTCACTTCAACTCCATATTGTTTCAGACTATGGAACAATGCTCTTCTCCAGACTGAGGGACTGACCACCTCAAAACTTTAAGGGTGATGGACTGATTACATCGTCTTCAAGTCTCTTCTGCTTCTATCAACTTCTCTGTACTCGACTGAAGAAGCCTACTGTGTAGGCGAAACGTTTCGAAATAAAGATACCTAACTGTTGCATATGTGTCTTACCTAACAACCTGTCGGTATTTTATACCATTTTATTTATATTTGCATGTGGATTCGTACCCCTCATTAATTTGTATATATATTATATAATCTGGGATAAATGTAATAAGCAGCAGTAACTTTTCAATAATGAGATCATTCAACATGTACCACACACAGTAGATATAAGAATGTTAGCAGAGCTGCCAGCTTGGGTCAAGTTGGCAGCTCTGCTGACAGGAAAACCAGTCAGCAAGACTGAAATCCTGGAGGTGGAAAGCACTGCGCCTGTACTTTGGAGGGTGGGGATGCTGTAATTCGAAGTTTCATTTGAATTGTGGATGCCTGAGCACTTCTGGCAAGAGAGCTGACCGAATTATTTTATTACACTAGTGGAGGCTAGCGCTAAACCCATAGGGGTCATACATTCTGGAAAGGGAAGTGTAGTTCTTATACGCTGAATCAATAGCAATTCACCAGTATCAAGGCAAGGCTGATGAAACATTCCTGACATTACTGTAGCCAATCTCTAATTTTCAACTGCGTCCCTATGTACCTTTTTCCCGCCTCCTGAACTCTTTCTGTCCACTTTAACAAGTCCTATGAGTAATATATGTCAAGTCTTCCCTGGTCCTTCTATTCCCTACTGTCACCGGTTCAGTTCCTTTAGTCTCACGTCTCATAACAGGTCGTGATACCTTTGACTTTCAGAAAGTTGTTACTCGAGGGTGGTGTGACAAGTTCAGAGATGTGAGGTGAATAATAGATTTGTAATGAAGCGAATGTAGATGCACAAGTCCCATATGCAACACCTAGAGATCTTTAATGACGAAATGTTTCACTTGCACAGCAATAATTATTATAATCAAGGGGAGCGCTAAACCCGTAGGATTATGCAGCGCCTGTGGGGGGATGTGGAAGGTATTCAGGCTTAACTCAGGGAGCTGGAGCATAGATCCAATTCCCTAGATCAAGAGCCCCTCACCAGCGTCAAGGAACCTCCCTTGAGGGGACTTGCACAGCAAACTTCGTCAGTCGATTCGACTGACGAAGTTGTGTGTTGACGTGGAGAATTGTGACCCAGAGTGTTGCTGTATTGACGTGGAGAACTGTGACTGTGCTCTCCAAACTATCTCCTCCCTCAGTGTATAGCTAGTTTGTGTGTCATACAAACAGGAGCAGAGACTTGACCTGCCAATGACAAATGAACGCGCGCGCGCGCACACATACACACGCGCGCGCGCGCACGCACACACACACACACACACACACTATTACCGTCATCACTGATGAAACTAATAAATCATCAGGAAAGAATGCGGCCACTTCGCGTTCCAGATCGCGAAGTCCAACTGCGCCAGATGGACGCCAATATATATATATATATATATATATATATATATTATATATATATATATATATATTATATATATATATATTTATTAATTTTTATATATATATATATTATATAGTGAACATATAAGGCCAAACACGTCATTTGCATAAGCCTCACTGAAGCTTCACTCGTCGACTACAAGATGTATATGTATCGTATGTGTGTTTTGGAAAGAGCTGGCTTTTGCTTGCTGCTTCCTTTCACGTTTATTTGCAAGTTTGCTTGCTTGTATTTTTGTGACTGGGTGTTTGCTTGCATATTTGCTTGAATGTTATGGTCGCATATTTGAATGTCTGCTTCCATGTTTGCTGGCTTGTGTTTTTGCATGCTTGCTTGCATATTTGCAATTTTTTTTGCTTGTTTGTATATTTGCATATTTGCTCATTGATCTACACTACATATTGCTTAGCATTACCTTCAACCCGTCTTCCACATAGTTTTCCAATATAACACAATGGGGTCGATCCTCACCCAATCTGTGATT